GCTTTTCCCCCCCCCCCCCCCCCCCCCATGTTTCTTTAAAAATTGCATCTTCTCATACTGTTACACTTTACTCACAGGACTAAATTAGGAAACAGGCTCAACAAATTAAAATTTCTGTTGTAATATTTTATGTCTGAATTTCTTAATGTGGAAAACTGTAATTGCTTAGAAGGTAACGTAATATCTAGATCTCTCTGTTCACTCTCTTGCTCATTTTGCTTTAGATTATCTTTGTCTTGAGCTCTTCAAAATGCAGTAAATTTAGAAACTACTGAAGTGAGCATTTCATCTACTAAACAGCTGTGACTCAAGCTGTCTATTCCAGAGGTTACAAAGCCAAAAGAAACACTGTTGTGATCCATGACGCTAATCCCTCCTCTCCGCAGGCGCACGAGGGGATAGCTTCTCCTTCGCAACGCCTCGGCGGGAGCCGCCGGCCCGGCTCGCCGCCGGCCCCCCGGGGCGCGCCCCCCCCCCCCGCCGATAAATAAATAAATAAATATCATAGCCCGCCACCTCCGCTGACATTTCTTTTAAATGTCTGCCGTCAGGTACACCGACCAAAGATCAACTTCTGGTGAAAAAAAGCACCAAAACGACGAGCAGGATAGGCCCCGAGACCTGAGGCACATCAGGGTGCCTTCCCCCATCACCACGCACCACCTCTCAGGGCGGACCCGACGCCTGGGTGCTGCAGGCTGCTCTTGCGGGTAGAGGTAAGCCTATGATGCAAGAGATGTGTTCGGTCCTCTTCAGGACGCTGTGAGGGGAACCCTCTCCTGAGTTCCACAAGGCAGCCTGGGGGAGCTCAAGCAGCAAGGCTTTCTCTAAGGTGCTCAGCACCACGCGCCAAGAAAACGCAACGACCAAATACCAGAGCTGTAAGAGGGAACGGAGCCCGCGCACCGCCGCGAGAGCTACGACACAAACACCCCTCCTGCCCTGCAGCCCAGCCTTTGCTAGTTTATCGTGTATAACGAAGCCCAACTTGCTCAGACCCTTATGCTTAACCGATATAAAGAATTAAAGTATCTTTTTTGTGAGACTGTACACACTTTTTACTGACGGTTTGTAGCGATGTGGAAACTCTTTAGATCTAAAGAGCAACGCTTCGTCTATGACGGCGCAGTTGTGTAAAATGGAAAGCCGCGCAGCAGACCTCCACGGACGCCTCCTCCAGCAGCGGAAGCCGACGCCACCCTCTGCCCAAGCGGCGCAGAGGGACGAGCGCTCTAGACGGAGCCTTACCGGGCTCTTCTCTGGCGCAAAACACAGGAGACTGCCACGACCTTTAGGGGGGTGAATGCACTGACCTTTGGACTCTGTTTTCCCAGAATAGCCAGGTAGACCACTCTGGATAAGCCAAGCTTCCATCCTCCACACCTCCTTTTGTCAATTTCTTTTAAATAAATACATTGACTCTGAGGGTTTTTTTTAATAACTAACTATTGTATGTTCGCGTGGCATAGAAAAGGCTACCTGAATTTTCTTTTGTCAGAAGGAAAGTGTATTCATTCTCACAAATGCACAGAACATTACCAACACTTTATGTTGGGTTAATGACATTTCCTATTTCTTTAATGCATCCTAAAAGTATGATGGCAGTTAATGCCTCATGTGTATGCACAGCAGCGCTGTCAGCAAGAGGCATGTGGAAGGGTAAGCCACCTCTAAATGAGCGAGTGTGGGTGCTGGCAGCCCAAATGCTGATTACAGCCACATTATCGAGCTGCTTTAGGTAAACCTTTCAGCCAGAATCACACAAAGCAATATGCAGTGTTGTCTGGCTTCTGTTCAATTTTGAATAATTATAACTCATTTACAGATCACAAAACCACTCTTTGTTTCCATGGTCACACAGAAGTCTTTGATCAAAAAGACAAAGTATTATTTTGACGGGGATGGACTATGGCAAGTCTATGCAATTCCTTCACAAATTCCTCACTGGTCTACATTAAAAATAAAAACCACCAAGAAAGAAAAGCTCTTACAGCAGGTTGTTTTAGTAATAGTCTATAAATACTTCGTACTAGACACCAGAATTTAAAAGCAGCACGAAAGTTTTAAAAATATGAACATCCCTTATTACATGGCCAGACACTAGACAATCGCAGGCAGACATGTACTTCACATCAACAGTGATGGAGAAAAGTTGACCAAGACTTAAACAGACTCTGCAATACTGCGCTGAATCGGGTCACACATTACACTTTCTAGATGCAAGAACAACTGTCTTAATTGAGAAACTTAGGAAGTTAAATGCATTTTATCTCTTAATATAATGACACTAAAAATGCTGAATTTAAAATTATTGAGAATAAGTCCTTCATTTGCAAAAAATACACTTGTCCTACTTTCCTGAAGCTGCACACACACTATTTATTCTAAAGGAAACCCAAAATGTAAAAAGCTCACAACAGAACAGGAAACCTCATGAAATTTTATCAAAAGCCAGGCTGGAGATCATGCATGTTCTGCAGCGAGAACACAAGTCTCACTTTAAAAACTTTTTCCGACTTCCAGGCAGGCACGGACCATTCTGCCCCACGCCGCACAGACGGTAACATCTACTGCCCAGCCCGGAGAAGGGACCCGTGTCCTACTCTGATGAAGCAGCTCTAAAGTTTTGAAACGTGACTTTCCATGACTGTGCCAGCACACCCACAGACCTCCGGTTATTTCTATGAAGCTGCGCGAACAGGCAGCGTGGGAGCGATCAGTTAGCAAAAGATGAGCTGCGGATACATCGACCTGGCCAGTTATTTGTCTTGGGGCACGGAGTGACGTGCAGTCCAGCTGCTGATGCTGACGCGCCAGCCCTCCCCTGCCCGCACGCGAACCCTGAGCAACTCTGCCCGGCTGCCTGCGGGAAGAGCCTGCGCCAGGTCAGCAAACACGCTGACCGGAACAGCGCCATTGGCAACGGCTCCAAAACTGGTAACTTCAGCTGTGATTACTTTTTACTTATTATCTGCTGATCCTCTCAGAAGCTGAGCTACACGCATCTTGGATAAAATTCAATGGATCTTGTTGACTCTGAGTTGAAAACTAGTAGTCATTTGAAGGAAATGCACTACAGGCAGTATTAAGAAATATATCCTCTGCATCTCTAAATCGAGAGGATTAATCAAACTGTTTAACGTACTCAAACTTCAGATTCCTTGGATGGTGCTACACAACTGTCCAAGTAGAAAGATCTGTGGACATTCAACAATTAAACTACCAGCACAGTAATGTTTTGCATAATAAACAGCATATCAGTACGTTTCTGCAGACTGCCAGCAACTATTCCTGCTTTTTTCTCCCTTCACCTCCATCTAAATGGATTTACCGGAATGTTTTCTAGTTTTCTATAAAACATTGTGCAAAACAATCCAACTTTGTCAACCAGTATTTTTCAAAGCAGAACTGCACTGCTGGTATAAGGGAAACGCACTCCCTCCAGAGAGCTCCAGCTACTATTAAAAACAAAAACAAAAACCCCACAAACAAGCAGCTGTAAGCATGGCAAACATGCTACTCTGCTTGGAAGACATCCACCCAAGACTTCAAAATATGCATAGATCCTGCTTAATTTCAGACAAACAGAGGTTTTCAACTTAAATACACTGTCTCAAGAGACATATGCAACAGCTTTTGGCTTCAAAAGGAGCTGAATCAGGCTCCCAATACTGCCAAACAGTAGACAGCTTTGGTGATAGTATTAGAGTGGGAAGAGTAAGATATAATTAAACGACTTCAGCAGGGGCTAGGGAAGCCCTGTGTAGCTCAGTGGATCGTATTTGCTTTCACAGCGCAGCCACTATGGTAACCCTGGTTTGATATCCGGCTTCTTGGCGAGCTTTACTCAGGAAGGTAAGTTGCCTCTGGTTACTCCACACAGGTGGATGGGAGCTGACCTTCCAGAGGCTCCTGTCATCGTGGGCATTTCATTTTCAGTTTCCTCCAATTCTAGTAAATTTGCACATTCTTCTCTGAATAAATCCAGTGCAAGTTTACAACATCTTCCATAACTAGAGTTCAAGACAAAACTGATTAGATTACCTAGAATCCAAAAATATCACAAATTCTCTTTTTGAATGTTAATGTTGTCATTATTTTTCTCCATGACTGTTAAGCAAGTGGATCATGTTCACACAAACTGCTATCTTCATGTTTATCCTGTATGCCTTCACTACAGTCTAGCAACCTCAAGCTTTGTCTACAACTGCATGATGTAAGTTGACAATCTAAATAGAAATACCTAAAATCACATTTACAAAATGAATTAATATTTTAGAATTAAATTTGACTATGCAAACGATTTTAGCCTTCTAGAATCTTCTGCATTCACTCAAAATAGGTATTTAAAGTGCAATGCATATGTATCTTCTACCAACATTTTGCAAATGCAAATGACTGTTGCCAACCTGAAACCAATTTTTTTCTCAAAGCAAAAATGGAAAAGTCGTCGCAAAAATTCTTACCTTCAAGAGGTCAATTTCTTTAATGCAATCTTGCCTAGCCTTGGCATCCATCATTTCAAAAATCTTCAAAAACAAAAACATATGAAAATGAAACAACAAAAAGAGAATTTTATGTTTTAACAAGAAATTGGTCTTTCCTCCCCCATTTGTATATCCTCTACTGTAATGAGTATACACACAATCCCCAAATCAAAGGAAGATCAGTGTTTTCTTTATTCTGAAACCACTGAAGGGCTAGTGGTAGGGTAAAACTAATCTTAGAACCTGCAGGCAATATTCTAAACAGCATGAAAAATAGAGATACTAGTTTGTGAATTTGCTGTCATGATTTTCAAAACATAGTTAGTTTAGTTGCTATTAATTTCACATGGTAAATACAAGATAAAATGCTACTCTCTTAAACAGAGAGTTTATAGCTTCCACTGATTTCTCTGTAATAATTAACAATGATATTGAGCATTAATGGTCATTCTGTAATAATCAGAAAGTCATTAGAAACAATAGTTTGAAGGACCTGCTGAAGGATTGAAGCCAAATTTCTTCAAACAAAATGCTGTTCTGAACACTGCACAATACTTTAAAAGGACGTTACAAATCTATACTGCTTGCATCAAGTTTTTCAGAAATTCTTCTAAAACTCCATCAGCAAGCACTGGCATTCTTCTCTTTAGTGCTTTTGTGTTTTCGTGATTCATCTGTGTCGCGATGGCAGTCTCCTAGCTGTATGACTACGGCCATTAGGGTCTCGTTCTTTCACACACATTTAATTATAATTTAGCAAACCCCTTTTTATGAAGTAAAAAGCAAAATTTAAATACAAAACTGCACTCCTGCTACATAACTCTGATTTAGAAACAGCCCCACTCCAAGATGATGAGGAATAAAGACCATGCAGTGCAAATAGACTGCTCAAAATGGAAATAGGGTCCCATACACAGGATTATAGGGGCTATATGGAGAAGATAGCTACAGAGGATACAACCAAGGGGCATGCAGGAGTGCAGTGGGGCCACTTGGCCTCTTACACCCAGATGTAAGCTGAGCACCATGCAACTAACCTGATTTAATCAGTATTTGTAAAACTCCTTTGAGACCTTCAGAAGCATTATTCTTTATTCATTTTCTTGAAATAATAAAGCAAAAAAAACAAAACAAGCACCCTCTAAAACCCAACTGAGTAAAATAAGAAATCAGAGTGTTGGGTTTATTTTGATGTAAAATTATCAAACCAGATCATCCACTGCTCTCAAACCTTAAATTCTTATGTACATAAAGCATTTTATTGCATTATTACTGCTGAAAAAAGAATGCTGAAAGAGATATCTGACTCAAAGTAATCCGTGTAGACACTTAAAAACATTTCCATTCTACATGCTACATAGTAAGACTTTGACCTTAAATGCTCACCTGAACTTTCTTTAATGCCACAGGTTTTCTGTCCAGAAGACAAGTTGCTTTGTAAACTTCACTGAATTGTCCTCGTCCAATCTTTTTCTCTATCTGAAAGTCTGCCAGTGTGCAGCGATATGGGTACGTTGTTAAATGTCTCTGTTCAAGCCAAAAGAAATTAAATCAATGAACTAGAAAAAAGTGATGCAAAACCATGAATTTGCATTCCCAATCTGTCTTCTTTACGACTGCAAACTAGCTGTTTCTATGACTAATCATATTCAAGAGGATAAATTCCTCACACTAAGGACTGCCCAGCAAGAAAGACAAAGAATTTGGTGTTGATGTGGTGTACAATGGACAACGGTGTGGTCTGGCTTTCCTTTTCCCACATTCAATTTTCTTTGTCCACTTCAGAGCAGTCGCAATACAAAGCGCAGCATACAGGCGCAAGCACACACACGTAACGGCAGAGAGTTCTGTAAAACTATTAACCAAACCAAAGCATGAAACTAGTAACAGCTGCCAAAAACATACAGAGCAGAGTTAAGACTGCCAAGTGTGGACACACTCTTGCGCTCATTGCTGATGGTGAAGAATTTAATCTTGGCTGATCAGTCTATAGATAATTTCAACCATAAACGCATTAATTCCTAGCAAATGTACTAGTAACATAGGCTGAATTAAGTTAAAAGACTTTTTTAAAAAGGAAATAAAGTCTTGCCATCCATGTAAGTAACTAATTAGTCCCACACTACTAGTCTCATCAGCGCCGCCCGTTTGTGTCCCTTGGGAGGTGCTGATGCCTACTTCTGAGCAGGCTCAGGTAAACACCCAGCCAGGCAGGTAGACACAGCGTAACGAGGATTACGTACTCCATGGAGTAGGAACTGCTCCCTAGAGCCATTCTGGTCTCTTCTGTAGTTAGCATGACTGCTAACCAATGTTTAAAAAAGAAGTTACGAAAATCGGTTACTTAAAGTTGCCATGCACGCTAAGTAGAGTATTTTTAAGCTTCAGCGTCTTAAGCCATTTCCACGTTCCCATCGAAAACCACAAAAAGACAAGTACACAGCAGAAGTTGAGTTCCCAGGACTCAGCCGTCGTTTACAGCCAAACCTCGAGCAGCCAGTGCCAGCACAAGCGCGCAGGGAGAGCAGGCCAGGAAGGCTGGGTGTCCTAAGGAGGTGACTTACTGCTACCACCGTCACTTCCTAACACAGAGGGGTGGGGCTGCGAGTAAGATTTAAAATGCAGGTAAAGCTTTCAGTCCAGCATCTTTTGCCAGCACTACATAGAAGACAGTGTGAGGATCTCCTACAGTGTACATTTATTTTTATGAGTAACTAAGTTTGGACTTCTTTTCTTTGCAACAGAAATAAAAACAACTACTATTCAACAAACAATAAAAAGTATCAATCAGACATTTGGAAAAGCTTCCAGATTTCAAAGTGTCTGTGCAACTCCGAGCTACAGTCACAGTTATTTGGCAGAGGTTTTGTAAACAAAGTTGTAAAAGTCAATGTTTTTAAGAAAACTCACCAATAAAGTCCCCTAAATAGTAATTTCTGACCCACAAACTGCATCAATCAACCAAGACAAGCTGTTTTGAAAACTGTCACCTTTACAGCATCTTTGTCAGAACAAACGCAGGAGAAATGCTCACAACAAAAGCTGTGCTACTGCATACTCAAGAAAATGACTACGTTTTACACATGCTGGCGATACAGAGATACGGATACAGACCACAAACCAGACAGTGAAAAGACTATCAGGTCTTTTTGCTGTCATCTTCCCCCTCAGCCCTCCGGCAGTGAACGGCTGCTTGCTCCTGGAGCTTGCCCCGCTTCCCCTGCCCTGCGTCCGCCATTGAGAACGCACTGAGGATAAAGCTCTGCACTTAGGAAAAGAGAGGACCGTTGCTAAACCAAAAGGCTTAGACCATTGTGAACTCCAGAGAAGGCAAAAACGTAACACCGTAACGTCCAGCCGATGCCTGCTAAATGAAGCAGGCACAAAACCGGAAATTTAACCCCAGGCCATCAAGATCATCAGCTTTCTCAGTTTAAGTTCCCTAAAAGAAGAAACCCACTTCTTTTCAGATGAAACGACACTTCGAGTAATTATTTTTGAAATGCCAAGGCCACAGGTAAGTTTTTCCATGTATCACCACAAGCATTTAAATATTCTCATACTATGAGAAATGGTTTTCGTTTCTCTAGGCTAAAGACAACACAATAAAAATTTTTACTTCGCCAACAATAACCTATGCAAATAAGGCAGCTGCATTAGAATCTGCAGCTACTCGTGAAGGCGAGTCACACAGAAATAGGAAACTGATTTCATCAAGTATTTCCTTCGAGCAGTTCAGGGGGTGTTTCCCTTTGAAGATGGCTTTTCTCTCCCATACTCTGAGCGAAGCCCGTCACCCACCTCACTGCGCAGCCACCGCCGGCTGCAGCTGCAGTTTGTGCTAGCAAGCAAAGGACAGTTACTCTTGGTACTTCTGTTGTGCTTGGAGTTATACGGTGTTTACAAGCTCTTACACAGCAAAATAAAAATTAAAATGAAGAACCAGGATTTGTTTCTCCAAGTTTTGCAGTGTATACTATACAATAAAGTGGGAGTGTCCTTTCACTGATGAGGAAAAAGGCAGCCTATGGGTCATCAGATAAATTGTGGAATGTTAAGAGAACACTGCTTTATTATTTACATACATTCACCTTTAACATACTAAATTATCAATGAAGTAAGGCAACATGGGATGAAACCAGCCTAAGCAAATTAATTGAGCTGTCCCATCAAATTGCTTTACCCAGACAAAACAAAGGTGTCAGTATATAAAGTTATAAAACTGCCTCCTAATTAAAAAATAGATAGGAATCAAAGCATTTCCTTAACCGTGGACATGTGTCCCCTGCGCCACCTCTTCTTGAGTGGTAAGAAAGTTTGAGCAAAAGCTTTTCTAACTTGGAGTTAACATTCACAACAGAAGTAGCCGTTTTAAAGAGATTTTATGAAGGAGCTACCACAAAACTTTCTTTTAAAGGGAGAAATCCATGCTGCAATCAAGGATGGTATCTATTTGCCCTTCATAAATCATTAAATTGTGTGTTTAAACGAAGAGTGTTTACGTGTAAATTAATATTTTAAGCATGTGTCAAGAAATATCTAGCAACTTCTTAACTTGAAAATATAAATAAACGTTAGGCAAGTGACAGGGGGGACATGTGTCCCAACCACTCTCACATGGTTAGCATATAAAGTCTGCTTGCCATGCTGGAGTTAATGCTGGGCGAAGACTGGACACCTTAGCTGATATGTTCTGGCATCCTCCAGGACTACAGCTGCACATTTACATATGCAATGACCTAGATTTGCATTTGCTATCACAACCTATCAGACCTAATTAAAGTAATGGAGCTTTCATACAGGCTAGAAGATATTTGATTACGGTATAAACCAGAGAACATGCTCAGGTTAGACCAAACCATACCAGAGAGCTCTCTGTTGATTACAGCAGTCCATTTTTCCATACGTCTGTTTAAAATTAACCTTCTCTTACGCTTTACTGTGCTTAAATGTAAGCAGGTAACTCTTCTAAATACTGTTACAAGGACACATTTAGAATACCTAAGAAATATCTACCTCCTCAGAATACCACCCCTATAGTCTGTCCTTGCATACATTTCACTTATTTCAAGACTTTTGACAAGGGTAACTCAATTTTTTTTCAAGTCCTTTCACGTTTAACCAGTACAATTTTTCATAAAGCTGTCAAGAAACCAATACCTATCCATTCAAATAAACCATGATCTTTATTTCTGCAAACCTGAGAGCTTTCATATACAGATACAAACTGTGTGTAAAATTAGATACCACCATCATCTTCAAACCTCTTCATCAAAAACAGATTCTCTCATTTTCAGGACAGATTCAGGCTCAGTGAAGTGTTCATGTCTGCATGAATACAGTAAACCAAGCCGCTGTCTCTGCAGAACAGGTTTCAAGATCAGTGATAGACCTTGAATTAAAAAAAAGAAATAAAAAGGAGGGGAGAAAAAAACAACCAAGCAAACAAACAAAAAAAAAAACCTTCCAACCACTGGACATCTAAAGACACTACGAACATTGGGCTGTTTGCACATTTCTGTTCCCGGGGCAGCTGTAGGAAGAACAGTCTGGGAAGAACTAGTTTTGAGACAAAGGCTGTTCTCTTTATCCACACAATGAAGTCTCATTCTTCTACTACTCCATTAAAAAAAAAAAAGATTAAAGTCAATTAATTCCTCATTCAAATAAAGAGGCTATTCATTTTTAAGAAGAAATGCAGAGATTATTCCAAGAACAAGCGCTCTGGACATCTCTGGCATACATGTTCTCTTTCAGATGTAATCACTGATGCGAGAGCAGAAATTTCAAAGCTGGCAAAAGCAAGCAACGGCAGCCCTCGTCACAATACTGAAGGGAGAAGTTCGCCAGAACTTTCAGCCTCAAGTTTTGAGGTGTTTGGAGATTTTCTGCAAAACAGAATTAGCAAGGTTTTGTAATACTAAAAAAGCCAACGAACTAAAAATTTCAGTTATGTTACCTTGTACGCACCTGAAGCAAGGGTAAGAAACTTAATTAAAGATCATAGGAGTCTCTACACACCAGATTATAAAGCAACCAGGCATATACAAAGGATGACAGGATTAGAAAAGTTCCTTGCTATATACTTGCTCCTTGGTGATAGGATGTAGTTTCTACTTACGCTTCCACATTTTTGGGGATGTCTGTACAGTGCTACCAGAGGCACCTGACCACAGGTAGGACAGTTACATAACCTGAATATATTTTTTGCCTTTTTTTTTTTTCCAAATGAGTAGTTGTACAGCTAAGAATTTGTATGTTGGGATAAGGAAGAGCAAGAAAAAACTGTTCTGTAGGAAGAGTTTCAATCTCCAGAACAATTAAAGTTTGGCAAATAAATTTACCTCACTGTAATTATTTAAGAGCTGGGGAAAACCTGAACAGTCCGAGCAGCCTTCCCTGCAGCCTCTAACCCAACATTTCTGGCAAAGGGGAGTACTGAGAGACTGAAGACAAAAATATCAGTAAAATACTAACATGCTGCAGAGCAATGCCTGTATGACCGCTTCTCCCAGAGGCACAGGAGAAAAATAAGCCTGAATGAGCTGAAAAAAGGGGAATGTTCACTGCTAATTGCAGAATATATAAACCCGGTATGCTAACGTTAATTAATAATAAAGTCAATTGTTTTACTGCTGTCTGATTGGCATGTGGAAAACAGCACCAGTCATCAGTCTGCACAAATGGCTACAAGGTCAGAGACATCTGGATTATTCATAATCACCTTAAAAACTGTTAAAGATAGGTTAACCAACAGTTAAGAAGTCAGAAACTACAATCTTTAGATGCCAATAAAAGCATCTATCCTATAGTGCCATGAAATGAAATATTCTTTAGAAGAGTAAAAACATACTCGCCCAATTAATTTTCTGAAACCTCATTAAAAAATTTAGCTCGACTAAGTCATACACTTCTGACCTGAATTTTAATTATCTTTATGCTGGATATAAGTTTTTTTTTCTGATATTTGCAATGCATCATTAATTTTAGAGCAATGGTTTCCTTGCTTCTAAAGTGCATACTTCATCTGAATGACATTTACCGTAAACTAATTTCACCTTTAAAAGACATCTGTGATAGTAGATGGGGAAGCTTTAGCCCCTCCAGTTGAACACGTACGCATTATAGGCAATGATTTACTATCAACATCAGTGTTTCAAACCTCTTTATGATGTCCCAAATTATACACTCATCTCCATTCAATAATGCCTACCTGAAAAGAATTTTGCATACTTTGAGGTTGAAATTCAAGTGTGAATTTATGAGAACACATTAGAACAGATTGATTAAAAAAGAACTTCTAAGCACACAAGAGATGAGGAAACTTTTAAAATATGGATTATCCTTCAATTAGTCAAGTAATTATTGAAGAATACATCAGGTTTTTCAATTTGCAGCTTCAAACCTAGACTACACAGTCATCATAAAATATCCTTAACCTGACCCGTTACCTAGATTTTAGAGTCTGATGAAGAACTTTGCTTGAATTTCCAGGTTTTAACATGCCTATCAGCAGATATTTGTACTGGCTTATGACAAGGAAAGAGAAATACCAGCTTGAGAATAGTAGACCAAGGTGATAGTCACAAAGAAATTACCACAGAAATAATCTAAGCATTTCAGAAAACGATGAACTGAAGAGTCATTACTGCTAGATGACCAGTTCAAATTTACCTTCAATTCGCAGACTGAAATGAAACTACCGTGAACAGGTCTGCTGCTAAACTGTGCAAGTATATAAAAGGGTTGTTTAAGAGTGAGTTATGTTTATTTAGCATGAAAACTAAGTAAAAAAATTATAGCTCCATATTTCCATATCACTGATTTACTCCTTAATAGCTTTTAATGCTTACTGCTATAAACACTAAGTAATCTAGAGACTTAAATAATTGACAGTTTTGCTCTGGAACATTAAAAGAAAATGTTCTGCCTCTTGCTGATGAACTTCATCAGGGTAATGCTGGGCAGGTAAGGGAGTCAGAAGCTAAAACTGTGATTTTATTAGGCTTTTTTTACATTTATATATTCACTTACTCTAGAAAACTTCTAAATATAAAGCATTACTCAAAAGCATCATCTTACTACTAAACCATAGTAGTTAAAGATGGAAAGAAAAGTCTAATACACCTACTCATAGCTCTATACCAACTAGTTATAAAACAGAAATAACACCTCTGTCAGAACAAGAGGAAAAACCAAAAGCTTTAGGAAGCAGCATAAGTATAGGAAAAGTTTCTACTAGAGGAGCATACTGTCGCTCTGGTCTCTTTGGGGCTGACACAGTAGTTTTGAATGAAAAGGCTGGAAGGAAGAAAGGGACATTCCATACAAAAACCCTTCCTCATCCAAGGCTCTAAAAGCTCAGTTTCTGTTTTTTTTCTGCTTAAGCTTTTACTCCTGCCATTCATGACATTTCTTGTAAGACAAGTTTGGTCAATTTTTCCTTTCCAAACCTCTCTCTTCAACAAGCTATTATATAGCACATCTGCATTACTTGTATCTTCAGAAGAAAGAAATGATCTAATTTTGGATTCTTCCAGGTAATAGGTACCAGAAAATTGGAAATGATACATAATTATGTTCCTGCAAAATGGAAAATCAGAAATATGTAATAAGCAATCATATTATGCCATCGATGTAAGGTAGCTTGCCCTCTAAATAGTACAATTTCTGTTAATTTCTAAACTGAGTTTGCTGAGGAGACACATTTTTTTTCAATTCTCTAGTAGACTGTATACTTTTGTTATTCAGCTTTTTAAAAATTTTATTTTAATAGCAAAACCAAAAAAAGTCTTTCTGCAATCCTAATTCCAAACTAGATCATTCTCAGAACAGTTAATATACTCCATTAACACAACCTGGATATTAACAGAGTTGAGGGGAGGTTTCACTCAGCAGTGACCATAAAGCAAAGTGAGCCCACTCACCATCAGCATAACAGCAGAACACAGATTATTAGCTACTAATTACACTTAACTATGTCATTACAAATTCTAACATGTGCTCCAAGATGCCATGAATGTATCTGCTGCACAGGAACACTTCCTAATCTTGTTCATGAAATAATTACAGGGGCTCTATCCTGCCAAATGAGGCAGTAATTAACCCTAATTGCTCAAAATGCAACTGGCTAATTCTAGGAGATTAATCAAGGGGATTCAATTATTATTAAATGACTTAATATGACAAATTGCTACATTAGGAGAGGGGGGCTGTGCTCCATACGACGTTACTTTCACAGCAGTGCTGCGTAAGATACATTCATCTTCTTACTCTGCGCGCAGGCCACTTACCGCATCTGCAAATCCTCTACTGCGTTTTGATACAGCTTGCCTAACGACCGCTTCTTGTTCACGGAACCTGGGTCACTACCGGACTGCATGGTTGGAATGACAAATTAACACCCACAGCCCCCTCCCCGAGGTAACGTTACACCACAGCTGCAATAGTTTTCCTTCTGACAGCTTTTCCTTGATGCTTTTTGTTTACTCCTTAAAATACATATAGGTAAAACTTAATTGCTCTGCATAAACAGACAAACAGTCTAAAAACGGCAAGGAGCCAGAATCCACAAAATACAAGTTTCGTGAGTACAGTGAAGGTATCGCCATTACTTTGAATGTGGGTCTAACCCTCAGCTTAGCTCGCTTCTGCAGAAAGGCAGGGAAGAGAGAGAGAGGAGCCACTCTAGTGAAACTTGGTAATAGTACAGACAAAAATACACTGCGGGAGAGATTCCAGAGACTCACAGGAAATGAAGTCAGAGAGCCTACAGCTTCATGTAGGATAAACTTTTTCTGGCATTTGTTAACTACCTCTTCAGCATTTATTATTAAACTATAAAAGGAGATAAAATACATTTATTCACTTACACAATCGACTGCTTTTCTTTTGCCTTTTTCGTCAAAGAATCAAGAGAAAGCCAACACAGTACATGTTTTTATAAGATGATTTAAAAATGCTTGCTCTAAGCAAAATTCAAAGTATTTCCTTTTTCTCTTATTATCATCAAAAAAATGGATTCAGGAAACTCTGGCTGGCTGGCAGAATCCCAAACTGGATATATCCTAAAACTGCTATAAACTGCAGTATAAAGAAAGGGGGGGGGAGGGGGGAGGCTAAATACTAAGAAACCTATAGACCTTTATAAAAGGAACGGAAGAAAACAGAGGAGGAGAAAGACTGAAGAGACGCACGCACTTACCTGAGGATCATGCTGATATTCCTGCCCTGGCAGCTTGCAAAGAGGGTTGTTCTGGTCCCCTAGATGATGTGGATGGTTATGCTGCCCTTCCATGGTATCATACCAAACTCTGCCTCACAGTTCTGCTGGAGTTAAAAGAAAGAGGGGAGAGAGAAGTCTCATCACTGTCAACCCAGCACTGAAAGCAAGAGACTCTTTCCAGGGGTGTGCCTACACGTGGTTGTACATCAAGACAGCAAGAACCAATTCCTCCCCTTTCTTCCCTCGGATTGACTCACGCATACAATTCGCAAAGAAAGAACACCCTGATCTACCACCAGCCCCACAGGAGCTCAGCTGGTCCCTGGCAGCCCAGAACGCACCCGCTGCCACCTGCAAGCTGAAAAATGCAGCAACAGGTCAAAGCTACCCTCGCTCTCCTGAGGTTACAAAACAAAAATACCATTATCACAAATATTGCTGGTATAATTTCATAATAAGCAAAATAGCAGAAAATGAGTTTACTTGGTCAGTGGTACATTATCTACAAAAGATACTGCTTTTGCCACCTGCAACTGCAGCTGGCATCATTCCCCTAGAACGGCTGAACCTCGGCAATCCCCAACAGTATCACCTAGCGGGCAGTTCAAGAAAGGTTAGCACGTTTCTGTTTGTAGAACAAAACCGACAGTAATTCCCACCAGACAGCTGTAGCTTTCTTTGGCTGGAGACAACCTAAAAGTGTAGCTTTACCCCCATTCTTTCTTCCCCACTCCCAGGTCAGAAGTTTTCATGTTGGTTGGTAAGCCACAGGAAGCAGTAGCTAGAAACCCTATTAGGTTCCACAAGATCAAAGAGTTATTCTAGGAACGAACAAACAAACAAGGAAAAAATCCATGAATTAGTTTGTCCCAGCTTTACCTGCAGCAATTACTAAGCACAGTTGTCTAGCAGAATTTCCTACAAAAATCACAGAAATTAAAGGGATGAGGTGCTAGAGATGAGAATCTAGCAAAAGTTATCAGATACAGAGCTTACTGTAAGGCGGCAAAAATAAATTCACCATCACTGTTTGCAGTGATCCTTCATTTTCATTTTAAAACTACCCTCCACGCTAGAGAGACAAATTCAATCTCCCCTCCCGTTTTTCAGTGCAAAGATCTTGTTTGTGAAGTTCTGAGTCACAACCCAAAACAAAATTTAACCTTCATTTATGCTGGCAGCACAACTGGTGACAAGCCGTGACATCCAGCACTTCAACATAAAACTTCTACACATCACATCTTGGGTCTACCTCGAATCAAATTATTTCACAGTATTATGGGATTAGTTTTATTTTCAGCAGTATTATAAAACCAAGCAAAAGCTTTGGGTAGCAGGACAGAAGAAGAGACACTTGGGTGAGAGCGCTCAAAAAAAGAAGTTCTAATCAACCGTAACACACACCGATTAGAAGGCACTGGAAGTGTGGTAGTCAGTTTCCATTTTTTACAATTAAAAAGAGAAAGAAAGAAAAAAAATTGAAAAGCTAAATTCTCACACTGGTTGAATGAGGCAAAGAAATTTATTTCCCGAACTGGATGTCCCAGACTTGTCATTATTTACACAGGTTGCTGGCCATTTGGAGATACCACCCAAGTCCAACACACACAAGGTACTCCTGCTCCTCACCACTGGGCAGAAATGTCGCATCCCTCCGAGCACGTGCGTGCAGCCGCCGCGCCTCAGCATCGGGACGAGCCACGCCGCCCACGAACCCCAGCCACGACGCCGACAGCGCTCGAAGTGGTTTCCACGCTTTCCCTCTCAAGGTCCCTCCTTGCAGAGCGTGGGCTGAAATGCCGCAGTTTCCAGGCCAGCACACCGCAGTAATCCGAAATGATGGTCTGCTCACCTTAAATTGTAAAGAGCTGCCCATCAGGCAGCCGAGATATCCCCGGCGCTGGAACGCTGTGATGCCAGATTAACTAACCCTCCTCTGACACGGAACTGTTGCACGGACTTCAGGAACACGGCAGTAAACCGTAACGAGGCAGTTACAGGCTTTTGGCTGAAAGCCTTCCAGATACATCTTCTGTTTGCAGAAGCGTAAGAGACATGAACAAATTCTATCCCTTCTAGGAAACAAAACACATACTTGAACTGTTAGCGTCACCAAGTCTGAGCCTGACTCTGGGGCAAATCCTGGTAATTTTATCAGCTATTCAGGGGACACTTCGAGAGTGGATCACAGCACTCTTTGTGCCACGCCAGTTCTGGGGTCAGGCTCCGGCCCCGAGCAAAGCTCATCCTCAAAATACATTCACAGCATATACAGATCACGCACAATAAACACGCTAACGTCCTGTCCTCAGAAAGGACCATGTGCAGGATTTTTGGGCTCATTTAACAATGTTAATCATAGCTAGTTATTCATTATCCACACACGCTCTAGGTAACGTGTCATTTAGAGTCGCATTGCTGCTGTCCTTAGCAGCGACTAGAAGCCTAATGGTGACAAGGGAAGATTTAGTGGCCAACACAAGCATTTGCAGAAACTTGTTTCAATGGTTTTGGCAAGTATTCACTCAGTGAAAGAGCACCACCTGACCTCATTAGTGTATTAATAGTGCATGCCTAGCACTTGGGCAATGACTAACTTTATTTAAAATACAAAGGTATTTTAAATATTTGGGGGAGTGGGGGAGAAAATATGATGCAGAAGAATTTCCGTAGCAAGTTATGCTTGGTTCTTCTAACGGTTGTCAGTCAAACAAGCCTTTAGCTCTGGCAGATCTTTCCCAACACCAGCTACTATAAACATGTGCACACGCAGTAGCAGGGAGAAAGCGGAGAAAAGGCTCTTCTTGTTCCTTAAGCAAATGAACTTTCACTCTAACAAACACTCACTAGAAAAGAGTTGTGAGAGCTGGAGTACCTGCTGCATATAAACAGGCTAACACATCGGTTGCTTTCAATAAAAACAGGTTTTCAAGTTGAAACTCCAGTGGGAGATGGATAATCACTATTAAGACAAAGAAGTTTGATTTTAAGATTCCTTCAGTATTGGGCATCTGTAGGTTTATTAGTAATCAGGTGAATACTTAAAAAATAAAAATATGTCTCAATATCAACATTAAACTGTCGTGTGAAATTTCTGCTTTACATTACACTGCCAGAACTATCTTAATTATTTTATTATTCATAATTTGAAGAAAGGTTGTTTACTTGAAGGGAGCACCTTAACACAAGTTCTTTCTCTTCTAAGTCCACAAGCACAGAGAAAACACTGCTAGGGACTGCAGGCTACTGACAGCCTCACTTCTTGCCACTTATCTCCAAAGGAATTCAGAAATTTCACATTTACAGTCTCAAGACAAAAGGCAAGTCCAGGCAGCATTATGTGAAATATCTGCAGTCTAACACTGATCAAACATCGTATCTACTGCATCCTGCCTTTGGAAAGGACTAAAGCTCGAAAAGAGAAAAGGGAGTGATTTCCGAGTCAGAACCTGAGTCATCTGATCATACTGGGGATATGATGTCCCATATGGGACCCATACAAATCTGGGACGTTCCTAAGAGAACCGTAGCTTTCCAGCTGCCGTAAGGAACCTCAAGGTACAATTACTTACCGTGAGGGATTAGACAGTGCGAAGGCAATTAACAGCTCAGAAGAGCCTAGCTGCCACGAGCCTGTATGGGAATGGCTTCGGCGGAGTATTTGGGTTTGGTCACTGTTTGTTTAAAGCACTACAGCTGGAAGCAAAGGAAGAAGTAAGAACAAAATATCAGCTTTGAAAAGAGATACGGCACAGCTCACATGACACCAGCTCCGAGCCCGCTGACACCTACGGGACAGCGTGTCCTGCTCCAAGCTGTCAGCTCGGCTATTCTGGGCTGTGGGCAAGCACACGCTGTAGGTAGACTGGAAGGGGAATCCCCGGGAAGGGGCTTCACAGAGGGTCTTCAAATAGCAGCTAACAACACAAAGGTATGTTATTGTGTCAAAAAAGGTAGACAGATTGCACAAAATTGTAATTCTACAATTTTTTTGAGAGTCTCTCTTTTAAAAAGTCTAACTACAGAACCAGTATTGCAATTACATTTTTAAAAATTAAAACGTTGAGCAAAGAACCTGACAGTGCCCGATACAACTGCTTAAAACCAGTGACTTCCACCTCCGTTCCACATACTTGCACTCTCCTGAGGAAGTGACCACACTTGGAGCTACGTTTTACTAATCCTCAAGTTAGTTTGGGTATTAGCTGCAACATGTTAGATAGGAGAGAATTTAGACTACTGAAGAAAACAATAGACACTTAAGAAATGTTTAAATCTGTTTAGCCACCTCTTATTCAGTCACTCCATTCCGGCTACACAGCCTGTGCATTAAGTTATCTCATGGAATCCAACAGTTACCATGAAACCCTTCCTTTAATTAATGTAAGCATCTGAATGAGATGTAACATACCAAAAACTCCTTTGAAAAGGAATGATTTCGAAGCTACTTCAACGAGTTGTAATCTCCCATCTCACTCAGGCTAGATGGGTTAGGATGGAGTATCTCATACTAAGAGAAGCTGTTTCTACATGCAGCATCATGTGAATGTTAACCGCTCCACAGTAGAAAGGCTGAACAACACAACATTTCAGCTTAGGTAAAGCATATAATGCCTCATTAACTGAGGGTGATACTAGTAAGTAATGAATTTTCCTTTAATCTTTAAGAAGCAATCTTAAATGCGACACTTAATTCACCAACATCTAGAACCAGTGGTCACCGTGTCTAAACCAAAGTTATGTCTCCCCATCTAATTCAGCCTTTGACCTGCATGAGAAGTGGGAGAAAATAAACCTACTATCCTGGTGTATTTTAGGATGTAACTCTACTAGCAACTGGACCAAGATCAACAAATTTATTTTATATGTCACTTCTTAGCAGCAGTATCATTGGGCACAATACAGCAACAAAAAAAATCAAATAGGGAAGGAAAAAAAAGCTACTCCACACCAAACCAAGCAGTGACAATAACACTCCAGATTTGGTCTCATTCCCTTAGTATCAAAGGGAGGGGAGGGGGGAAGCAGTTTAAACAGCCAAAGACGATAGTAAGAAATAAGACAAGGTCTTG